GGAATGTGTTTAGCTAAATATGCTGCTTAAAATTCAGCCTTCAAAAATCAGTAGAAGTCATCAGGGAGCTGAAAATCTGAAATCCAAATAAACTGTGCCAAAAACAAGAAATTGTGAATTTGGGGTCCTGTAGGCATCTGTTTAGTTCTGTGTATTGTAAATAAAGCATGGTTAGTTTAACTGTAGTTTAATTTCTCTCCTGTGGGTATTTGTTTTGTTTTGTTTTTTCAGAAGAACACAGCCTTTTCATTGCAGGAAAGCTATGCAATGGATGAACCTGTTATAACACAAAAACATTTCCACATTTTAAAATACAGTGCTATATCAAACTTCAAAGCAAGACTACATGACATGGCGATAGATATCTAGTCTATTACCTTCTAATATATTTTATGGAATTTGAAGCCAACATGTTGCTTTTTATGTATTTTCACCTCCTCCAACTCAAACATCGGTAACAGGAAATTAGAGAAGGTGGGAGACGGTGTAAAATATCCTGTGGAACTGGGTTTGAATGTTAAAACATCCACCCAGGTTACAGTGTAACAACATATCTACATAAAAAAAAAAAAAAAAAGAATTACATCTAGAGTTTGCACATAGACAGTGCGGTCCCAGAACAGTCTTTGCAAAAACCTGAAAACTTCTGAGATAAAGAACAGCTTCCACTGCAGATGACATGATTCATCCCAAGGTAAAAAAAATATGTGTGCGAAGAAAAAACATTAATTTCATGTACAGAATCCCACCTGTTAAAGCAAATGTGAAATTTTGCACATAAAAATTATATGAGATATGTGAAACACATGTAATGTAATGCCCATGTGAAATGTATAGCTTAGATTCTTATTCTGCCCTGAAGGCTAAGTAACATAAAAGAAAGAAAAAGTTTTTTGTCTACAAAAAGTAGAACTAAAAATATAAAAGTTATTTTAACTTCCACTACAGGATTTTGCTTAACTGTATTTGGTCAGCTAATAGGAAAATTATCCACTTTTTTGTAAGTCAGAGAAATACAATTCATGTTTTGTGATGTTGTTACTTTGATCCAAATTTAAGTAAAGAAAACTGAGAACAAATTAAGAAAAAACTAAGAAAGTAAAGTATTAGATTTTACATTTGTTTTTATATTTATTGGACTGGCAAATTTTTTTTTCTATACAGAATCATTACCCCTTTCTTATGTGCAATATTTTATCTTGTTTCAAATATAAACTTTTTTTCACATTTTACTATTACAATTTTACCAGCAAAAATGATTTTTTTTCCTAGTAGTTTTTAAATAACTATTACCGGTATTCATACTCAACAAGGATATACATTTTTTAATATCTTGCTGTTAAAAGGAAATTAAATATACACGTTTCTTTTTATACCTGGATATAATGCATCTTCTTTTGTAAAATGAGAGGTATGACCTTCAAAGGCATGTTCCATGTAATATCATTTATGCTTTAGAATCAACGGAAAAAGCTTTATCAGTCCTATCAGTGACTTATTCCTGTGTACAGACACACTTAAATTACTCAGATAAGCTCAAATAAAATTACATTCTCTGGCAATAAAAAGCAGGAAATAAATGATCCATTTAAACTGAGCTTTGAGTAAATCTCAATACACCCTCAGGCCAGCATTAGCACAGTTTGCACGCAGGAGTGCAAGTATAGCTTCACTTACTTGTATCACGGAAAAGGATACATTTAACAGATGCAGCTGGGAGGAAATGACAACTGCAGATCATACACCAACACTGTTTGGAAAGTGTTTTCTTGGCACTCATACTTTCTCTCATTTTCCACATAGAAAGACTTTTTTGTATCAATTTCCATCAATCCCTTCTGTAGATAGATATCACAGAGGGGATAGGAACGGGGGAGTGGACACTCCCCATCTGGGATAGGAATTTACATTTGTCCTCCTTAAAAACCAGAATAATATATATTTTAAATACTATAAAAATGTACAACAAGAAAATCCACCGTTTATTTAGCATTTATCCAGAAATTAAGATTATGCATTTATTACTCTCCCAAATGATTTGATCCATTGTACCAAAAGACTAACAACCCCTAACAGGTAGGCTTGCAACAACTCAAGCAAACCAAGCAATTGCCAAGGAGGCCTTGCACACCTGACAATGGCTGATCTGGTTATGAACTTAATCTAAAAACAAGTGCCCATTTAAATTTAGTGATTGACCCGGCAGAAAAGTACAACAACACTGTAATCGGAATAATGGGACCCTCTCCATTTGGAACGGTCTAGTCAGCCGGTGGTGTAGGGTTAAGGAAAGGCACTGTCAGGATGTGCGTCCTCTCCTGTTCTGTGGGATTTGAGTAGAGTTGGTGTGTACTTCGCTAAAACAGTAGTCAATGCATGATACTTTTTTAATCTCCTTATTTCTATACTTAATAATGTTATGATAGACAACAGCATTGAAAAGGTATTGGGATTGGCAGATACTGAATATGGTGATTGTTGATAGTTGATCGGCTACCAAAATCAAAATTGTTGCATCCCCAATATTAATTGATTAAAAAATAGAAAGAACACTCAAGTAACACATCCTAGATCTGAATGAACAAATTATTTTCATTGAACACTTTGTTCTATACAAAGTTGAATGTGCTGACAACAAAATTACACTAAAATCGTTTTGGAGTCGTTGGATCAGCACACTACAAGCTGATCCAACTTTGATGTAATGTCCTTAAATCAGATCAAATGAGGCTCCGTGTTGTGCATGGTTTCCAAGTGTCTGTATGACCTCCCTACAATGCCTGGGCATGCTCCTGATGAGGTGGTGGATGGGCTTCTGTAGGGATCTCCTCCCAGATGTAGACTAAAGCATCTGCTACATCCTGGACAGTCGGTGATGCAACTTGATGTTGGTGGATAAATGGAGACATGATGTTCCAGATTTGCTCAATCGGATTCAGGTCTGGGTAACAGACGGGCCAATCCATATCTTCAATGCCTTCATCTTGCAGGAATTGCTAACACACTCCAGCAACATGAGGTCCAGCATTGTCCTGCATTAAGGGGAACCCAGAGCCAAAAGCACCAGCATACAGTATGGTCTCACAAGGGGTCTCAGGATCTCATCACAGGGCCTAATTACAATCATGCTACATCTTACGAGCACATGGAGGACTGTATAGCCCTCCAAAGAAATGACACCCCACACGATTATTAACCTACTGCCAAACTAGTCATGCTGAAGGATGTTGCATGCAGAAGATTGCTCTCCATGGTGTCTCCAGAATCTTTCACGTTTGTCATGAGCTCAGTGTAAAATCTGCTATCATCTCTGAAGAGCACAGGGGGCCAGTGGATTTGCCAATCCTGGTGTTCTCTGCCAAATGCCAAGCGTCCTGCTGCAAGATGTTGGCCTGTGAGCACAATCCTAATCTGTGGACATCGAGCCCTCATACCATCCTTATGGAGTAGGTTTCTGATGCACATTTCACATGCACATTTGGGGCCTTCTAGATGTCATTTTGCAGGGCTTTGGCAGTGCACCTTCTGTTCCTCCTTTTATAAACGCAGAGGCAGTGGTGTTGCTGCTGGGGTGTTGCCCTCTTATGGCCTCCTCCATGGCTCCTGGTGTACTACCGTCTTGGTAGTCCTTCAGCCACTGGACACTATGTTGACAGACACAGCTAACATTCTTGCCACAGCTCGCATTAATGTGCCTTCCTGAATGAGCTGCTCTACCTGAGCCACTTGTGTGGGTTGCAGAGTGCATCTCGTGCTACCACAAGTGTGAATGCACCACCAACATTCAAAAGTGACCATAATAGCAGCCAGAAAGCATAGATAATGAGAAGTGTTCTGTGGTCCCCACCTGCAGAACCACTCTTTTGTTGTGTCTTGCTAATTACTAGTAATTTCAACCTGTTGTCTGTCCCATTTGCAGAACAGCATGGGAAAATGATTGTCAATCACTGTTGCTTCCCAAGTGGACAGTTTGAATTCACAAAAGTTTGTTAGAAGTAAGTGTTAAAAGTGTATATTTTTATCTATATATAGATACATATACAAGTAGTCATTTTACTGTGAATTATATGTTTAATCTTAAAATGCATGAGGGCATGTTGAAATGTTGTGAGTTGATGAGCAACACGTGATGGTGAGTTACAAAGAGGCAGGATAGATAGGAAAAAGCAGCAGAAGCGATGGCAGATAGAAGAAGAAGGAGCAAAAAATAGCAACTCCACACAAAATGTAAACACAATTTTTAACTGTGGCTGAACTACTCAATCAGAAATAACCTATTCTGATTTGGATAGTAATATTACCTTCAGGTAGCGTACAGGTTTTCAACTTGTGAATCATAATAAATATTAAAAGTTATCTGATCAATAAATGCATATGACCAAGCCATTTAAACAGGTTAATTACCATTTATCCATTATACCCTATACCGTATTCATACGGTTTTAGAGATAATATGTACACCGGTGACAGATAACAGATGTTGAATGTAACCCTAACCAAATGTAAACCAAAATAAGCAATAAAGTAACAACATAACTAGTGTGTATGGTGGTATTAGTTTGGCACATCCGAATGATGGGTCTTACAACCTTTAATAAAATAAGGAGGCTCCCGGTTCAGTTCTTGGCCAGGGGTCTTTCTGCATTGAGTTTCAAATTTAAAATATTTATTAAATCCAGTAGTTGGAAACCTGAATATGTAGAATAAAAAAAAATGAAAACTATGATCCCTGTTATAGTAGGCTGTGCCCATTGGACATTTCTATTATTCACAAGCTGAATGTTAATTTCTAGGTTTAATTGTTAAGAAAATGACATATCAAAACGAATGGCTGGTGGAGCGTGGAATGCAAACCTGCAGGTCTGTTCAATATTACAAACATATCACCCAGGTACAGTACACATATAAATAATAGTTGTCTGCTATATTATCTTGAACTTGAATTTTTTTTTTTTGCTTTAATATATAGCTCCTCTGGAATGAATAAGTTTGCATGAAAGCTGTATGCATATTTGTTGAAAAATGTTTACATTTATTGGTTTTGTTCTATTTGTGCTCAGTCTCATCGGACACAGAAATCCTGTACACATTTAATTATGTTTTACATGACAACATATTACAATTAGGATAGTGTCATTTTCAGCATTATTACATCTGTTGCATTTGTCAGCTTCAGCTAAGTCTCAACAAGCAAACAATTTCAAAACATTCAAAAGGTAAATTAGTAGATTGGAATCAAAACACCACATTAGGTATCATGGTTTTAAGCAGTAAAGTTGGAACATATTTAGCTGTGTTCATCCAAAACATTTGGCTGTGCCATCTTGTTAAATGGAAGTTTAAAATTCACATTTAATGGTTAGGAAAGTGGTGAGTCCATCCGGAGTGAAAAAAAACAAAGGAAAAAAAAGTTTCCTTCTTTCCCGACTCTAAAGTTTCATTTTAGCAGCAACCTCCAGTACAGTGTCCAAGAAATATTTCAGTGAAAACATTAAAATATTTGACTTAAGTAGACATGGTCTTCTGAACCCTCATAAAGTATCCACAGACTCTTTGGCAACCACAGAGAGAAAACCACCAATGTGAAAATGGATCGAACAAAGATCCACAGTAAGTGATTTTTATTGCATTATTATTAAATTAAGTTTATTGGTTTTTCAAAAGGTGCTGCCTTGTGAGTTTTTTTCAGGAAAAAAATCTCAGCTAGACTAAATAAAGAAGTTAGCTGATATGATTACATGTTAAGACCTACTGTAACACTATGATGGGCGCAGCTGATTACTTTTGGTTAAGCTTCTTTAAAAATGACAAGCTGGTGGAATAATAATTTCATCTGTGGAAAAAAGTTCAGTTTAGTCTCCTTACAGAAAAATGCACAATGGTACCATTTTTATTCATTTAAAAAGCTACATAAAGATCAAGCTTAAGTATCAACCTGGACATTTGGGGTCGTCTTAAACTGAACTTGACAGTAAAGAGGTTTTCCAACTACAACAGCATGAGGAATACTTGCAAATAGTACCTTAAAAATGACAGGGGGATCGAATTTCAGGTAGAAATATATATTTTTTTTACCTTAAAGTGCATGCATGAACTCATGCTTCCTGCAAAAATAAAAAGAGATAATAAGGAAGTCTCAAGCTATCAGTCAAGATGTTGTCAGCAACTTCATAAGTGCTATTTTTGGACATATTTTTTCAGCTAAAGTAAAAGTTTTGTTTTTTTAATTGAGAAAATATGATTCCAAGACTTTTGCGGTTATACATATTTTCATAATGATAAAGAATTTTACTTGTATAATAACTCCCTCTTTTTCTAGTAAAAAAAATGAAGTTTTATTCCAATAAATGATTTACAGTAGGGGCACAAAACAAAAAGGAATAATGAAAACTTGCACTTTGTCTGATAATACGTAATAACAGAAAGGAAAAGCAACATCCCTTAAAATATTTATTTTCACATTTAATAATCCAATGGGAGATCTTACCATGATTAACATGTTGATGCTAGTTGTTTAAAAATTCTAGTAATACTCTTGCTGCTAAAGCTTCTAAAATGTAAGGTGGCATCTTACATGTGTTCTCAGTAGCTTACAGCCTTGATTTCATATTTCTCTGGATTTTTATGTACCATTTACTTGTTAAAAATAATAAAAAAACAAAAAAAAACAAATGTGCCCTGCCATCTGGGACAGATGGTCCGGCGTATGTTTCTGCACCTGAACACTTCCTTGGACTGTGCTGAATCAGGCACACATCGCCCACACAAACATAAATATATACACATCCTAAAGCTTTTTGCACATAAGATTTTCATTCAACACAAAACTAAGATTTTAGCAATAATATGTGAGGATTTTAGTCCTGGTATGACAAAAAAAAAAAGATAGGATGTCAGCACATCTCTAAAGAACATATGCTCCGTATGATCTGGAACTAAGCTAAACCTTCCTTTATGGACTCGGTTCAGGTCACATTTTTAATGCCAGAAAATAAAACTAGGGTTTCACAGGTGACAGTTCTAAAATCTGCAGTTCACAGGAAAGCTCCTGCAGGAGGCTTGGAGACACAGGGTAAAATACAGCAGTGGTGACATGATGCAAAGCTCTATATACAGCAACCGATGAAGAAAAGAAACCAGGGCTTCAAAGAGAAGAAGAGGATATTTTTCAGTGAAAAGTTTGCACACAGTTTCTGTACATCTCCTTTCAGCAGCAAAAAAGGAGGAAAGAGCAAAGCTACAGCAGTTCTATCTGCAGATGAGCGGAGATTAGAAGTAGCAGAGTGAGAGTGAGCATATGGAAAGCATTGCATTCCCCAGAAGAGCTTGTCCTTCCAAAGTAAGCCACCTGGGCTGCAAAGAAAAATGAGACACAGAGGGTGGCAAACTGTCAGGCATTAACTTATTTAAATAATGCAATATATTGTGCAAAAAGGGGAAACAGTTGAAACAATGTTAGTAACTTTAAGACCTTATAACCTCTCCTCTTTTGGTGACGCCTTCTGTGTTCTCATGAACTGGGCAAATCCAGTAAATGTTTTCTGAGAACAACTCACCCACACAGGCTGACCCGTCGTCATTGGGCTCAAAGCCCTGGTTGCATCTCTTCTTGGCACGGCATTTATAGCTGCCAAAGGTATTAGTGCAGACGGGGCGGTCAGAGGGGCACACAGAGGGGAACTGGGTGCATTCATCTTTATCTGAGGATGGGGAAGGCGAGGGGGCAAAGACGCTTGACTAAAGGAGGCTAATACAAGGAGACAGAGTCAATGAAGAGAGGAAAAATTAGGTCAGCTTACCTGTGCAGCGGCCGTACTCATTTAGAGCAAACCCGTGACCACACTGTAAAACACAATGTGTGTGAAGCAAAATATCTTTACAATCCTTAAGCACACTCAGTAAATATTACATTTTCTCTACTGCTCCTGATATTTTCTCATATTCTAGCGAGTGACCAAAAACAAAAAGAGAACTAGTTTGATTTGTGCAGCATTTTAATTATTAAAAACAGAACTGGTCCAAAACACAAAAATAAAAAATAAAAAACAAACAATTAAGACTAAACTCTACATTCATTTGCATCAAACCTGGATGCCTTAAGTCTTTTTTGGAAGCTTCCTAAACTCTCTCTTTAATATTATAATTCAATCTCTATTTAATTAATGCATTTGTTACAGCAATGTTCAAAGGAATTTGCATCCTTTACCTTTTTCAGATTTTGTCATCACAGCAAGCCATGCAAAATTAAAAGAGTGGGGAAAAAGTTTTTCAATCTTCAAGAAAGACAACAACAAATGTGTGCCATGTGACAAACAATGGTATGCAGTTTTATTCTCTTCTTTAATTTTTAATTAAAACCACAATCCCCCCCCACCCCCATTAAAACCACACATGGGACAGAGGCTTTTATCCGATTCTGGAAACCCACAATACTCTTGAAGGGATGTGGCAGTGCAGCTGGTGGACCTGTTCAACCTCCCTTCAATTTGATATCCTTAACTAATATCCACTGCAAAAATTGCCTTTAGAGCTGATCTACTCCTTAACTAAAGTTGACCTGTGTGCACTTTAATCTAAATTAAAAATACAGGGGTTTGATGCATCTGACAGATATTTTTTAGAGAACAAACAGCTTTATGAGAAACAAAGAATTCAGCAGCATCATGGACAGATTAGTATTTGTTCATATTAACAACAAATATGTAGGATAACATCAGGTGTGTCTGTCTAGGTCATGATGCTAGCACAGACAATGATTCACTAGTCAGTGAGCCAGTTTGATCTGCAATGCTGAGCTGTTGAGTTTTTTTTATAACTCTTTCTATTGAAACTTAGCTCATAGGTTTCAATGTTGCCTCACAGTGATTTAGGCATGGTTAGCTTAATGAAATAAAATAAGAAAACATGATGTGAGGTGAAAAACAAATTTTTTCTAAAATGACAATTATGGCAAGGATAGCAAAAATTAAGAGAAACAAAAAGGTCCTAGGTTACTCTTGAAAAATTGCAGTTATATGTTGACGGGACAAAAAATAGTCATCCAAATTCAAAAATCTGTCTTTGTAAAAGTGATGCAAGAGGGAAGTCATTGTTTAAAAAAAGTGATGAGACTTCCAGTATCCAAGAGGGCCTGATGGGTAACACCAGATCAACTGACAGCCTGGATGTGCCCTCAAATAAAATATTAGGATATAAGGCTCCACCCATGGCATTCATATTTTGTTTTATATTCATTCTGCCCAACACCATAATGTTTTGAAGGAATTTATTGTGATATTGTGTACTGTACCTCTATTTCCACAGTAGGAGTAACCTCCTCTTCATCTCTTGGGTACGGGATCTCCAGCACTGAGTTGATTTCTGAAGGCTCCAGAGGACGTGCTATTGAGCGTCCATCTGGCCAGTACACTTCAACATTTGTGGCAACATCCCTACCTGTTTGAGTAAAAATTATTCCAGATGAATATCAAACACACAAAATCCAAACATAACATCACTTAATTCATTCACTAACCCCAATAATAATTTACTGAGGTGACAGTCGTGACTCTTCAATCCTGGTCCACTTTCAGGATATCTGTTTGCACCCGCTACTCATCATTAAATGTATTAATCAGGCACAAAGGAGGACATCTAATCACCTATGTGGATCTTAATTAAAGTGGCATTTTTAATGTAAGCAAATCTTTAGTAACCCTGACAGACAGTTGCATTGTTTGGAAGCCAGAGAATATTTCACCTTTTCTCAAGATCAAACCTTTGACATATTGCTATAGAGCAGGCATGCCCAAAGTCTGTCCTTGAGGGCCGCTGTCCTGCAGGTTTTAGAGGTTTCCCTGTTTCAGCACAGCTGAGTCTGATGATTGCATTTCAGTAAAAGCCTGGTAATGAGCAATCAATTAACACCAGTTGTACTTAAGCAGGAAAAGCTCTAAAACCTGCAGGACAGCGGCCCTCGAGGACCGACATGCCTGCTATAGAGTGTATTACATATAAATCCACATAATATCTGGAGGTCTTTTCTAAAGTTACAACATTTTAGAAACTTTCATATGGCAGAGAGCAATGTGACGACCAGTGGAGCTGATCTTTTCTTTGCAAGCTCTGATGCATGACGGGCTCAGCCAGAGGGACAAAGGAGATTCTTTATGTGCCCATTTCTTTTCTCTCTCACTCGTATCCTCTAATTTTGCATTTCTTTTTCAAAGGGGAGAAATAAAATAAGGCTGTTTTTAAACTTTACTAGCCCTACAGAAGAGCAAATGCAGTAAGCTGAAGGGCTTAAACCCTGTATAACTATCTGGCTCTTTAAACGGGATCTTACCAAGGCCAAAGTGGGCGACAGGTTCCATCTCACAAAGGTATCCCGAACCGCCATCAATAATCCGTGTGTGTGGGCCGCTTTTCTTTGTGTAGACAACCACTTTAGCTCCTCTGGCAAAAGCTCCAAACTTGGTCCGGGGAATGACCCGGAGCCATGAGTTAGTTAGGCCCTGAAACAAGTGTGCAACAGAAAGGGAGATGGCTCCCAAGTGATTTATGCTGAGCCAAACTACAACATATAAAATGCTACTTAGGGAACACACACTCACCTGGTTGACTTTATAGACAGAAAGTGGCTGTGCTGCACTCTCACCATGAGACACCACCAGTTCCAGACGGCCATCCCCATCAAAGTCCGTGGCAATGGCTCCTGGAGATCCATCAACATAATAACATAGCTAAAGTAAACAATCTCTGCAATGATCACTATGCTCACGAAATTACATATGCACATACGTTTAGAACAATCGTAGTGATATTGTAAAAAAGAAGTGTAGGAAGACTTAATTTCAAAATTGGATCAAGGTTGTCATCTAGTGTTCTGATGTGGTACTACAACCAGATATGAACCTTTCACAGTTTTTGATGTTTCTTTCCAGCACTTCTACAGGCAGATTGGTTGCGGTTAACTTAATGACAACCTGTTAAACTTCTTCTTTTATTATTTCAAAGCATCAGAAAAAAGAAAACAATATCTCAATTTGATTTAATTTCCATTTCGTTTTTTTATGCTTGATGTGCAGAACTATGGTTGATAACAGGCGTGTGCCTTCATGTTCACTGTGCATATAACAGCAGAAGTTCACATTTGCTTTTGTTAGATTACCAGTTCCACGTCCATCAGGTTCTGCAGCCTCCCCAATGTTCAATTCTTCTATCTGGGGGTCACCGTGTTCTCTCCTGCTCACCCTAAAAAACACCATAATAAACATTCCCCTTTTATTTCTGCACCACTTTAACTTTGTATTAAGACAAATATGAACTATTAACACTACTGAACTGGTAATGTGGTCTGGTTGACTTCCTGCCCAAGCCATCAATTGCATATTTCTGTCATCGTTGCATCTTTCACCATAGTAAATATACAATTTAAATGTTGTACATGTAAAAACTCTAAGCAGCTCCATCAGCATGCCTTACTTGCACCTATTTTACGTTTCTGACTTTCTGTTTCTTTCTTGGATTTTATTGGTTTGCTACAGTGTGCTGGAGCATCCTTTTCCTATGACAACATGTTTTCCATATAATGAAAAGCAGATATGCAAATGGTGTGAAGGGTGGTATGAAATATTAATTATAATTCAAGCAAGCGTTCTGTTATGTACCTCTTCTCAGCTTTATAACATAGGATTACACAAACTCACAGGATTAATTTCTCAAAGAATATTATCCTAGCTACAAAATAAGTAGCATAAACAGTTAATGCCAGTAAAGCATTTTCAAGCACATTATAGGCAAGTATTGGTTTAAAAAAAATTAACTACAATCAACTGATATTAAAGACCTATCTACCATACAGCGTTATGAAAAAGTGCTTGCCTCCTTGCAAATTTTTCTGGGTCAGTCTGAACTGCGATTAAACCACAATGGTTAAATAGCTAAGCTCAGGTTTATTTATCAAAAATGGCCTCATTATCACCTCACATGTAGACCAAAAATATGTAGAAAAACCGTTACAAATAACTATTGATCTGGAAAACGTTTGGAAGTTTATAAACCAAACCAAATTACTGTACAGTAAGAGCCAAAAATGTGCTACTAGTAAAAACAAAGAGCATTAGTGAAGGATTCTATAAGGGGGCCAGTAAACCCATATTACCCTAAGACCACTTAAAAAAAATCATCCCTAAGATTCAAAAACTCAAAACAGCAAGAAAAACCTTCCAAACAAGACTCTTATAAACATTACACAGTAAAAGCAAGTCCAGGAAAAAAAGACCAAAGTCACTGGAAAGTCAACAAAGATCCAAGGCCGAAACCACTTCTCATCTAAAAGGCCCATCAGACATTCTAAAGAGAAGATAAGATAATAGTTTGAACTATTTGGATGATATGTTTTATTGTTACACTGTATGTCTGACCTAAAATTAAAAACACATTATTTCAGAACCTGACCATTGTTCTTAGAGTGATGTCTACCAGAATATCCTACAGGAAAATGTCCATCAGTTAACCAGGGTTAACCAAACAGTTTATAAAGCTTTGGACTGGTCCAGCCAGAGTTTGGACATAAATCCAAATCAGCTATACTAGTGTCACTTTAAAAACAGTTTTTTTGTATTCATATAGGTTGTTTTTTTCCAATCTAAAAATTTTGGATGAACAAAAAACATTTTAATGTGACAAAAAAAGCAGAAACCCGTGAAGGTGCAAATGTGTCTTTATAGAACTATGCAGACTGTGAAGCATTAGGTCCATTTTAATAGACAAATGTTCAACTGCAATTCCTCTTAAAAAAAATAATTAATACTGAGGCAATTAGTTAATGTAACCAAACTTTTTAACTACAAAAATTACTTTTAGAAGGACCTGCAACATATTTGAAAGGTAGTTTGCATTTCACATTGCATGTGCTAGCCATTTGTTTTAAGTTTGCTGTTACTTTAGACTGGCTGGTGATACATTCACGTCCAGTAAATTGGCTTATATGAGTATACCATAAATATCCACCACATACAGAGCAGTCTTGAATAGCTGTCCACCATGGTCACCAATATGCATGAAAGCGTTAAAGTTTCACATTTTATAATTATAGAATATCTCAGCTAATGTGGTGATTATAGCTGTTAGAGCACTAACACCAGCTTGATATTGATTTGTTTTACTGGATTAATTAGCTTGTTCAAGCATCTTTTTTTGTGTGTGCTGAAGAGAAGAAAAAAATAAGCTTGTTAATCTTCACAGAAGACAATGGCCAAGCCTTTGGCTGTGAAGTAGTGACCTCATTCAGAGCAGAAGGACAGATTTTTCTTGGGTGACCTAGCGTGCAGAAATATTCTGATCAAGGAGATCTTCTTGGTGAATAGACTGATTGCTGATATTCAGAGCAAACAGAAATTTGAATCCTGCTCAAACAACTTTGCCAAATCTGATTTTACTTAGAAAGGAAAAGGTTCATTTTATTATCAGTCAACCGATCACCCGTTTTGCACATTTTGAGCTCTGAGTTAATTAATATTATCTAAGAGGAAACCAAACCATGAACAAAAAAAAGATCTAAGAACTCTCGTAATGAAAGACTTATTCATGTGTGAAGAAGTAAGGAGGAAGAGGCGGGACGCCAGACTAGATAAGTATCCTTTTTCTGGAAATTTAAATTCCCTTCACCTTTCAAGCACATCATTAGAATATTAAATCAAGACAAAAAAGCAGTTTATTAACCTCTTCATTAAAGTGCTATGAAAAAAAGACGTTTCAGTACCTAAAAAGTCTGTTGGCTGAAGGTTCTCTGTAGGCGATGTTATTAAAGAAGACCTCCAACTCATTGTCATTATCAAAGTCTGCAGCGATAACAGTCCGAACCGGAGATGGCATGGAAAACTTCTGGGAGGCAATGTCCTGAGGAAATAAGAAACATGTAAAATTAGGTTCCATGTTATTTTACTTTTTTCATTTCTCTTCATCATGCTGCTCGTATATAAATTTTTATCCTACACTTCAGATAGTCATTGACACTGTCAATAAAGGCATCTTTATTAACTCATTGAAAAATAAAAGCATTTTTATGGATTCAGTTGGATTTTTTTATTAATCTCTGATGAACAAAAAGGTTTCCATGCACATGGTTTTCTGTATAGTATTTTTTTCTTTTACCAAATTAATTATTTAAAGAACAATGTGTAACATAACAACATAGAAAGTATGTAGCTAAAGTCAGAAAGTGGTAGCTTGAAAGAAAGGGAGCACATTTTGTGTTTTCAAACTTAAGACCCTTTTACATTTAGAATTTTTAATATATTTAGATTAAGGTTTTTCAGGAGTTAGTCTTTACTATGTTTAGGTCCTGTTACATTTTAGTAATATGACATTTGATGTGTAGTTGAATAAATTTAGTTTATGATTTTTCTACACTTGTTCTTAAATTGCTTTCTCAAATTTTTTATTTTCTTTTAACCTTTAAGTTATGTTGTTAGGAATCCAGTTTGTGTGGGTTGTTTGTGTGTTTTTCTCCCTCCACCACCAGGTGGTGCCCTGTTCATTGTTGGGCCTCCCTGCACACCTGTGGCTTGTTTGATCATTACTGGAGGAGTATTTGAGCAGTGGGCTGTCACTACCTCGACGCCAGAGTGTTTGCCAGTTTTGGGAAGCCTTCCTGAGTAACTGGATACCTGGACCTTCTCCCCTTGGAAGGATTAACTGAGTACACACTGAGCAGGGGAAAACCTCCACAAGAACCGTTCAAGTCCTCATCGGAAATCCAAGTGACAGTCCGCTCCTTTACTCCTCTGGGTCCAACACTTGTCTATATGTCCGCCCTCCAACAAGTTCCCTCTTCTCTGGATTAACCCCTACAAACTGGATTCAAGGATTGACAAGACCCCCCTCAAACCGAGTCCCTCTCCAGTAATATTCAAGCCACAGTCAAATTTCCTACCGTCCCTGAACTGATCTCTGGGATCTCCCCTTCAGACTTTCCGTTTCCGGTTCACAAGTCCACTGAGTTCCAGATCCAACTTCTGTTATTCATCTACATTTAATAAACCTGTTAAACTTTTTCCCTTGGTCTCTGAGTGGTTATCTGCATGTGGGTCAGATCACTCAAACCAATCATTACATATGTACAATTTATTAAGATGTAGCTGATCAATTTGTGAATGTTTTTACTTTTTTTTGTTTTTACTTTCTATACGTCTTTCCTTTTTAGTAAATATTTTTTTTTCTTAAAAAGTATTTTTCCCACTTTCATAGATTTAGTGCAAATAATTCAGATGCTTCCTCACTGCTTCCTTTCCAAAAATAAGTTTCTACAGCAGCTGAGTTTTTGCATGTGAAAGTAACAGATATGTCCTTGCTTCATTGAGTTAGGAATAAGTCTTGAAAGAGTTATAGAGCAGCCCTTCACTCCTCCCAGTATTTACTCCCTGTTTTAATTATAAGGCTCATAAAGCTGCAGAGGTAGGGCCGCCCACATTGACCTTCTACTGCTCAGGTGAAGGAGAGGGGATGGTTGCCTGAGGCTCCAAGGGAACAACTACATTTACGATATCACCTACTTAAGAGCAGTAAGAGAAAACTAAAACTAAGAAAGAAAAAAGTTTTTCCATATCAACAAAAAAAAGTCCGGAATTATCTTATCAATTAAGGTTACTCATTATTTTATACTTCGATAAAATCTATTTTAGGTACTTACAGTATTACCAGAAGTGAGAGAAACCACACAAAGGATGTTAGTACAGTACCCTTTTCAACAGTTTTCCCTAAATTCAAAACAAAAAGTATTTTGGAATTGTAATGGCCTAAGAAACATTATGGAAGCTGGTCCTGCTCAATGGGAAAACAGATTGAGCTAAATTAAGGGCAATGTTTGGAGAAAGCTGAAAAGGATTGTGACAGAGCCATAGTTGCAGCACAATGATTTAGATTAGAGCACATTTATGTGTTAACATTTCCCAAATCTTAAGCTATGTTATTTATTTCATAAGACTGCTATTCACAGATGTGACTATCTGTCCATTGATTGTGACTGGGCTGTTCAGTGGGGCAGTGGGTAGCACTGCTGCCTTGCAGCAAGAATATTATAGGTTCCCAGCCCAAGGTCTTCCTGCATGGAGTTTGCAAGTTCTCCCTGAACATGCGTGAGTTCTCTCCAAGTTCTCAGGCTTCCTCCCACAGTCCAAATGTTAGGTTAGGTAATTGGCTTCTCTAAATTCTACTTAGGTGTGAGTGTGTGCATGAATGGTTGTTTGTCCTGTCTCTGTGTTGCCCTGCAATGGACTGGCAACCTGTCCAGGATGTACCCCGCCTCTCGCCCGTAGACAGCTGGAGCAGCACCTCTCGCAACCCCGTTTGGGATGATTGTGACGGATGCTGAGTATTGTGACGGAAAAAGCACAAAATGTTTGGTTTTAAAATGTTCCAAGCTGACAAGACATCCCTCAAACACTTGGTGCTACAAACAAAGGAATGGGGACATTAACATTT